AGCTACTTTATTAGATTCATAAGTAATTATTGATTTGTTTTGATATTTATAATAAAATGTGTAGAATATACATATATATAATAAGATATTGATTATTTTTTACAAGGATTACGAAACAGATTATGCTGCGTTCATTGTTTTTGGTTGTTGTGTGATATATAAATATATATATATATATATATATATATATATATATATATATATATATATATATATATATATATATATATATATATATATATATATATATATATATATATATATATATTTATATTTATATTTATATATATATATAAATAAATATAAATATAAATATAAATATAAATATAAATATAAATATAAATATAAATATAAATATAAATATAAATATAAATATAAATATAAATATAAAAAATAAATAAATAAATAAATAAATAAATAAATAAATATATATATATATATATATATATAAATATATATATATATATATATATATATATATATATATATATATATATATATATATATATATATATATATATATATATATATATATATATATATATATATATACTTATATAGAAGATATTACAAATTCGGCGCCTTTTTTTGCTATTTTCGCTCCCCCTACACCGAAAACCTGGGTACGCCTCTGGTCATCACCGTTCGTCACTTTTCGTCTCAATTCGTTATTCTTCGCCAACACTCGACACTTTTCGTCTCAATTCGTCATTCTTCGCCAACACTCGCCACTTTTCGTCTCAATTCGTCATTCTTCGCCAACACTCGTCACTTTTCAGAACACTTTTCATAACGAGAGCGTCTCATCATACACATTTGGAGATGCCAGTTTAAAACCTTAATCAAACATGAAGGACCACCCCCCCCCCCCCACACACACACAAGCCTCATTCTCACTGCTACAATGGTTTGACCCATCCAATTACTAATTTTTTGTCTCGCTTAATTTATTATATTTCCCATCAAAATAACAGTAAATATTGGCGCCTCGCATAAAAATAAATCGTAGCGCCTCCCATGAAAATAACAATAAATCACATCTCATAAAATATTTTTCCCCAAATGTTTATAGAGTAAAACCAAACATGTATTGTTCGAAACGTCAAAGTAGTTGATGGTCTTTGAAAAGTAAAAATGAAAACTATCCATGGGGTAGGTATAAAATGGCTGATTCGTGTTAAATTGACCTCCGGATACAAAAGTTAATTTTTTATGGCAGAGGAGTTTACTTGTAAATAGATGAATCATTTTTTATTTATGAAGATTTCACGTTCTGGAAAACGCCTCGTACAACCCCTACCCACCCCTCCCAGTTTGCAGTCGACTTTAAATTAAATTATTGGTTGATTAATATCGGATGTGACATCAAAATCAGACATCATCACGTGATAATAATAAAAAATGGTGTTACATCCAATTTTTTTATTTTAAAATATTTCGCGAATTTGGGTCTAGATTTGGTTAGTACCGAATCAATTCTCGTCCCCGACCTCATCTGTCTGAGAACCGTTGAGGTATGGAAAGTTAGATATCAGAAGACGATAGATTCCGAGAACCGTTGAGGGATGGAAAGTTAGATATCAGAAGACGATAGATTCTGAGAACCGTTGAGGTATGGAAAGTTAGATATCAGAAGACGTTAGATGTCAGATGCTAAATGTCAAAGGTCAACCCTCAGTTGGGCTTCTCGTGTAACCATGTAGGTGAGCGCCTCGGGTCGCTGATCAATTGATACACTCACGTGCAAACACTGGACCTCTCAAAGGTCTCGTCTGCCTGCGTGCAGGGGGTTTATTTGGGTTCAGGTAAAAATAACCCAACCTAAATGTGGTGTAATCTTAACCTACCTGCCACGCTAAGGCTGCTGGGAGATTTTTTTTTTAGAAACTCATTATAAAACAAGGCTTTGGTTGTTTAAGCTCATTATATAACGTGCTTGATTAAGCTCATTATGAAGCAAGGTTTTAGCTTGATTAGGTTATTATTTAGGGCTAGGATTTTTTTTAGGAAAAGCAAAAAGCATTGGTTGCTGAAATCCAATTCTTTTAGTGAAGAAATTTTCTCAGTGCATTTAAAATCTTTTTATTATAATAAAAATGTATTTATTTGTTTCGTTTCTTTCGTTTAAGTAACTATGTATTTTAAAAATTAAATTATTCCAAGATTAGCCACGAAGAGACAAAAGAACAGGGAGCATTTTGAACAACAAAGCTGATAAAAATTCTTCAGATTGTGGGGAGCTCAGCTAAAATTATAACTTCAGCTGATCCAGTCGTAAGATAAGCCAAACTTGTCCTAAGTTTAAATTCCTAGCCCACCAGCTAAACGATCGGGATTCGAACCCACGATGGAAACACGTGTTTTTTATTTTCAGCGCGTGACTCGCCCAGACAGCAGTTTACACTTTTTGGTGTCGTCTGCACTCAGATTTGGTTGACGTCTGCGATAGTCCCTGCAGACGTCAACACGTGTGTCTGGTTATCGCTCAACTATCAGACGATCTGACGGCTTGTCATACAATCGGGGAGGTTTATGGGATCATCTCCCTCCTACATGACCTTTCACCTTCCTCTTGTACACCTTTCACCTCCCTCCTATAGACCTTTCACCTTCCTCTTGTACACCTTTCACCTCCCCCCTAAAGACCTTTCCCATCCCTCCTACATGACCTTTTACTTTTATCTTATAGACTATAGACCTTTCACCTCACACTTATAGATCATTCATCTATCTCCTACATGACCTTTCACCTCCTTCCGACATGACCTTTCACCTCACTCTTATAGACCTTTCACCTATTTTCTATATGACCTTTCACCTGCCTCCTACATGACCTTTCACCTCCCTCCAATAGACCTTCACTTTCCTGTTGTAGACCTCTCTTATACATGCCCTAACAAATATTTATGAAAATCGATTACGTGTAGTGACGTAAACAGAGATGTGACGTCATCTGACACAAACGTGACGTAAACATGGGGCGGGAATGGTCTTCAAACAACCTCTGCCTTAACACTACCTGCAGACAAGTGACTTAAACTATGTCTAGGCTCCGCTACTTATTCTTAACACCGCGTCTAAACTGTCGCTACTGTAGCTAGGTTGTATAAACGACAACGAAATGTAAATACAACCCAAGTTTCTGGTCCCCAAGTTAAGCTCGAGCTACTTAAAACCTACCCGGTTGTTCATCAAGGAGCCGCAGCGTATGTGAGTACATATGGGCTGTTTACATAGCTGAGTTAGGAGCAGCCAGTAGCCAGGTTTTTTTGTGCGCGGCTGAAAAGGGGGGGGGGGGTAATCTCTAGTGCACTGATACACACCATGTTTCACACTTTAAAGCAGTGTTTCTTCCAGACTTTTTTCTCCGGGGGGGGGGGGGGGGCACCTAAAATTTTCGGGGGGAGGCGGACTAAAATTGTCGGGGGGAAGGGGGGGGGCGGACACTGTTAAAAGTAGTATATATTTTCTATATGAATTCGATTTCGTTCGGGGGGGTAGACTTTTTTCGGAAGAAACTCTGTTTTTAAGGTGCGCACATGCTATAAACTACAAAGGTGAAAGGACAAATGATCACAGGACAAAAGATCTCAGACAAAATATCTCAGGGAAAAAATATCGCACGGACAAACATTATTATCTTACGGACAAAAGATACCAAGACAAAATATATCATTTGTCATGGAACCATAGCAATTTCATTTGACTATATGGCTGTAATAACGAACCACCACGCGTGGACGAGAATCCTTCCATCATTACTGTTGACACAGATTAAAATAGTGTTTTTGTCAATTTTGACTTCATGGCGGCAGTAAAAAAAAAAAAACAGCAACTTAAGTTAGAAAAATTTCAAAAACTTAATATTTTAAGAACAGGTGAATTAAATGTTGTAAATGTTGTGAACTTGAAAACAATTTTTGTGTGTATTGAAGTTTACATTTCTATTTATTTTCATCAAGTCTGAGTTTAAACTTCTCTAGACAAGCATTGATTGGCTGTACTATATTTATGTGATGTATTCTGAAATCCTCACTCAAAACTTTGTCGCTATTTTTTTTAAATAAAAGTAGATCTATACCTTTTTAAAACCACATGGCCTAGTTATGGCACGTTTAAGTAGATTTTCAGTGTCAAAATGTAAACAAAAATTGTTTTTGGCTTTTTTTTTATTATTTTGTTTAGTTACTGAAAATATTAAAACCATCAAATGCTTTCAATCTTTAGTAAAGTCGAACAAAAACCAAACATTCAGATTTTTAAAAACCATATTTATTTTAGTAACATAGCACATGATTTTTTAAAATATTTAATGGGCCTTTCGAATAATTTCGAGACTTTTCTCGTTGGAGTTTGTTGCTTATGGTCCCCAGATTTCAGGGCTGACTTATCCATTAGTTACAATAGCCTGTCATTTGGAACCGTAGCCAGGGCCTATAAAATGTAAGGGTTTACGAAAGGCAGAAAACGATTCAGTGAAAAAAAACTTAAAAAAAAAAAAAGATAAAGTTTTTAACATAATAAATATTGAGATTTTTCCCCGCCTAAATGCAGCCACTAACATAGCCATTGCTACTGCGATATAAAAATGACAATGTCAGGGGTACCGGTCATAGCCGAAATTGCCACTTGGACCTACCAATGCTAAAATTGCCAAGGACCCTGTCAAATATTTCTTGTTTTCCTAATAATTTGAATGTTTCTAAATTGTTACCAGGGGCTGTATTAAAGTGAGAAGCACTCTTTTAGTTCTAAGTAAGAAGCACTCATTTAGTTCTAAGTGAGAAGCACTGCCTAAGAAACGACATAAACTTGATAAAACGGTGCACTTGACGCTAAACAATAGGCTTAACACCCGCACAAGTGGTGTTTTTGTTATTTTTAGATTAGGCGTTGCACGGATTGTTGTTTGATGTGGCGATCTGCGCAGGCGCGGGGAACATGCACGCGCCTTGTGGCATTGTGGGTAAAGTTGGGCGTGAGCACTAGATCCCTCCTGAGCCAGCCGTTAGTGTTTTGGTCTTTGACATTTAGTTCATTTGGTATAATCTTCAGGTTAGTGTTTTCTTTTACTGGATACATAGATGGTATATGTATGTATGTACATATATATATATATATATATATATATATATATATATATATATATATATATATATATATATATATATATATATATATATATATATATATATATATATATATAAAAATATTTAAGAAAGAAATATAGACCTATCAGCTGGAGTTCATTGGATTTTGAAAAGTGTATGTACAAACTTCAATACATTTTATCTTAGAGTCAAATTTAAATGTCAGAAAAATTAAAGATTTTCGATATTGCTGACCGCTAATTATCAAAGAACATGTAAGATATATTTAAGTAGGACCCATTTAGATTTGTAACGAGAATTTGCACCAACTCCGGTTGCCACTTCCGGTTACCGGAAATCGCTGAAAAGTTGATACAGAACTACAAATTTAATATAATACTTATTTATAAAATCTCATCAACCTAGCTGTAACGGTATTCAAGCACACATAGACGGCCGTGTGTTGTCCGGCACACATAGACGGCCGAGCCTTGGACGGCCGTGTGTTGTCCGGCACACATAGACGGTCGAGTCTTGGACGGCCATGTGGCGCCTGTTGATCCCGCCATTACCCCAGATAGACGAGGCCGCCATATGAACCAATAAACACACAAGTCACGTGAGCATTTTAAGACCTGTGAGTCAAACACAAAGTTTACATTCGTTCATTGACGGGCGGCTGTTTCACGTCAAGCTACTTACCTGCTATAGCTAAACCTTGGTCCTTGTACAACCTGCTATAAGTTCTGTATACCAACCTGTTCCTTACAACCTGCTTAAAGTTCTGTGTACCAACCTTACAACCTGCTTAAAGTTCTGTGTACCAACCTTACAACCTGCTTAAAGTTCTGTGTACCAACCTTACAACCTGCTTAAAGTTCTGTGTACCAACCTGTTCCTTACAACCTGCTTAAAGTTATGTGTACCAACCTTACAACCAGCTTAAAGTTATGTGTACCAACCTTACAACCAGCTTAAAGTTATGTGTACCAACCTGTTCCTTACAACCTGCTTAAAGTTCTGTGTACCAACCTTACAACCTGCTTAAAGTTCTGTGTACCAACCTTACAACCTGCTTAAAGTTCTGTGTACCAACCTGTTCCTTACAACCTGCTTAAAGTTCTGTGTACCAACCTTACAACCTGCTTAAAGTTCTGGGTACCAACCTTACAACCTGCTTAAAGTTCTGTGTACCAACCTGTTCCTTACAACCTGCTTAAAGATCTGTGTACCAACCTTACAACCTGCTTAAAGTTCTGTGTACCAACCTGTTCCTTACAACCTGCTTAAAGTTCTGTGTACCAACCTTACAACCTGCTTAAAGTTCTGGGTACCAACCTTACAACCTGCTTAAAGTTCTGTGTACCAACCTGTTCCTTACAACCTGCTTAAAGTTCTGTGTACCAACCTTACAACCTGCTTAAAGTTCTGTGTACCAACCTGTTCCTTACAACCTGCTTAAAGTTCTGTGTACCAACCTTACAACCTGCTTAAAGTTCTGTGTACCAACCTGTTCCTTACAACCTGCTTAAAGTTATGTGTACCAACCTTACAACCAGCTTAAAGTTATGTGTACCAACCTTACAACCAGCTTAAAGTTATGTGTACCAACCTGTTCCTTACAACCTGCTTAAAGTTCTGTGTACCAACCTTACAACCTGCTTAAAGTTCTGTGTACCAACCTTACAACCTGCTTAAAGTTCTGTGTACCAACCTGTTCCTTACAACCTGCTTAAAGTTCTGTGTACCAACCTTACAACCTGCTTAAAGTTCTGGGTACCAACCTTACAACCTGCTTAAAGTTCTGTGTACCAACCTGTTCCTTACAACCTGCTTAAAGATCTGTGTACCAACCTTACAACCTGCTTAAAGTTCTGTGTACCAACCTGTTCCTTACAACCTGCTTAAAGTTCTGTGTACCAACCTTACAACCTGCTTAAAGTTCTGGGTACCAACCTTACAACCTGCTTAAAGTTCTGTGTACCAACCTTACAACCTGCTTAAAGTTCTGTGTACCAACCTGTTCCTTACAACCTGCTTAAAGTTCTGTGTACCAACCTTACAACCTGCTTAAAGTTCTGTGTACCAACCTGTTCCTTACAACCTGCTTAAAGTTCTGTGTACCAACCTTACAACCTGCTTAAAGTTCTGTGTACCAACCTTACAACCTGCTTAAAGTTCTGTGTACCAACCTGTTCCTTACAACCTGCTTAAAGTTCTGGGTACCAACCTTACAACCTGCTTAAAGTTCTGTGTACCAACCTTACAACCTGCTTAAAGATCCGTGTACCAACCTGTTTGACAAGACGAGTTCGATCATTATTGTTGGCATGGGTAAAAACGTTTTTTTTTTTCTCTAGTTTTTTTTCCCATCAAAGCGAGCGTAAAAAATAATTTAAAATATAAAAACTTTAGCCTGAAAAAATATAAGAAATTTAATATTTTAGAATCAAAGTTATAAAAGTTGAAAATCCAGAGGAAATGCTTTTTACTTTCTCGTATATACGAAGTATAGAGAATGTCTTGTAATCGTGCAAAAAAAAAATCGAGATTTTTACAAATCTCGACGTTTCACACCTCACTGATACGGAAAAACATAATTTTGCAATCTTGTCCGTATGTCTGTGTGTCTGTGTGTGTGTGTATCTGTCTGTCTGTCTGTCCGTGTGTAAACACGATAACTTGAGTACCGTTACAGCTAGGTTGATGAAATTTCATATATAAGTATTTAATCAAAATCGTAGATCCGTATCAACTTTTGAGCGATTTCCGATAACCGGAAGTGGTACTTTTCCTACTTTGAATTTTTCAAAAGCTTATAACTTGAGTACTATTTGAGATAGATAAATGACATTTCATACGTAAGTAAAAGATCTAATTCTCTACCTTCTATTACATTTTGAGTCATTTCCGTTGACTGGAAGTAGTACTTTACGCTACTTCCGATTTCTCAAAAAACTAATGTAAATTTTAAAAGTAATAATATTATTGCGCACTATTATGCGCTTTTTTATTTGGCGTTCACTTGGTGTGCAATTAATTTGTCTACGAGATTTTATTCTATTTTTACAAGCTTTTATTTAACTCACTTCCTCGTCAGTCTGTCGTCAGTCGTCAGTCTAGACGGAAACGCAGGAGTGAAAATTCGGACAGTTCTACTTGACCGATACGATTCACAGTTGGCACGTGGGTCAAGACATGAAGACAATGCAATCTGAAACTAAATTTGACTTAATTGGATGCCTAATTAATTTTTTATGAATTAATTAAAATTTGGACCGAATTAGTAGGCATGTCTAGCCAACCACACCACACGCGTCATCACCTTCAATAGCTGCGCCATCACGTAATGGCTGCGTTCAAAAACCATTGCGCGCCTACTGAACGTGATGTTCAGTAGGCGCGCAATGGTTTTTAGTCATGTAACTCTATTGTAAATAAAACATGTAAAGTACTGAAAAAAAATTCATAAAAAACGTTTTAATAACAAGCTTTTATGTAATGATGCACTAAAAAGTAGAAAATAAATTATAGACTACTATTTAAATAACTATAAAGAAAAGCGTGGGTGTCTTCCTTAACATTAGTAAAGGTATCCAATAGATACTAAAGTGACCCACGCTTTTCTTTATAGTTATTTAAATAGTAGTCTATAATTTATTTTCTACTTTTTAGTGCATCATTACATAAAAGCTTGTTATTAAAACGTTTTTACAAGCTTTTTACAAGCTTTTATTTAACTCACTTTCTCTGTCTGTCTTGACGGAAACGCAGGAGTGAAAATTCGGACAGTTCTACTTGACCGACACGATTCAAAGTTGGCACGTGGGTCAAGACATGAAGACAATGCAATCTGAAACTAAATTTGACTTAATTGGATGCCTAATTGATTTTTTATGAATTAATTAAAATTTGGACCGAATTAGTAGGCATGTCTAGCCAACCACACCACACGCGTCATCAATAGCTGCGCCATCACGACCACGTAATGGCTGCGTTCAAAAACCATTGCGCGCCTACTGAACGTGATATTCAGTAGGCGCGCAATGGTTTTTAGTCATGTAACTCTATTGTAGATAAAACATGTAAAGTACTGAAAAAAAATTCATAAAAAACGTTTTAATAACAAGCTTTTATGTAATGATGCACTAAAAAGTAGAAAATAAATTATAGACAACTATTTAAATAACTATAAAGAAAAGCGTGGGTGTCTTCCTTAACATTAGTAAAGGTATCCAATAGATACTAAAGTGACCCACGCTTTTCTTTATAGTTATTTAAATAGTTGTCTATAATTTATTTTCTACTTTTTAGTGCATCATTACATAAAAGCTTGTTATTAAAACGTTTTTTATGAATTTTTTTATTTAACTCACTTCCTCTGTCTGTCGTCAGTCTAGACGGAAACGCAGGAGTGAAAATTCGGACAGTTCTACTTGACAGATACGATTCACAGTTGGCACGTGGGTCAAGACATGAAGACAATGCAATCTGAAACTAAATTTGACTTAATCGGATGCCTAATTAATTTTTTATTAATTAATTAAAATTTGGACCGAATTAGTAGGCATGTCTAGCCAACCACACCACACGCGTCATCAATAGCTGCGCCATCACGACCACGTAATGGCTGCGTTCAAAAACCATTGCGCGCCTACTGAACGTGATATTCAGTAGGCGCGCAATGGTTTTTAGTCATGTAACTCTATTGTAGATAAAACATGCAAAGTACTGAAAAAAAAAATTCATAAAAAACGTTTTAATAACAAGCTTTTATGTAATGATGCACTAAAAAGTAGAAAATAAATTATAGACTACTATTTAAATAACTATAAAGAAAAGCGTGGGTGTCTTCCTTAACATTAGTAAAGGTATCCAATAGATACTAAAGTGACCCACGCTTTTCTTTATAGTTATTTAAATAGTAGTCTATAATTTATTTTCTACTTTTTAGTGCATCATTAC